GACTTTTCTTCCACTTTAAAAATTTCAACGAAATCCGCGGTATTTTCTAGTGGCATCTTTTTATCCACCTTGCCTGCAAATTGTTTTGGCATGCGCAGACCAAGCATTCTAATTACCTCGGGGCTCCAACGAAGATGAGTCTGTTTCCATGTGATGGCAGTGCTCTGAACATGTGTCCGCCAAAACACTTCCTTATAGGTGGTCAGCTCGCGTCCGACTAGCCTTAGGAAGCTTCTACAGATTATTTAAGCAGTAGGGATTTTGCATGATCTACCACACTGATAGCACAGTTAGCAGCTACCAGCCCCAGCAGGTGATACAGTAATCTCTCGCCATATCGCGCTTCGATTTTCACGGTTTTATTCTATCACGCAGTTGATATGCAAGCATATCTAAATATGGTATTGTTTACCGACAAACACAGAGCACACCACTAAGGCCTTTTCAGCCTCATTGGGCGTCATTAGTTGGTGGTAGCCCAACTCCTGTGTACAGTTACCCACTACTATATCTAAATATGTATATATCGCGGGTTTTTCGGTGGTTTGTAGATTTCTGCGGACCGTGAGGCTCTGAAACAGCCTAAAATATTTTTTTTAAATTATCGTACGTCTGGTTTTTACTTCGCGAACTTTCACTTTTCGCGGGGCGTTATAGCGATGCACGATGCAGATACTAGGGATTCAGCGCATAAGTGGGTTTCCCAACTTTCCCTGTACTATTTCTGGTATATATGCCAGTTTTGAAATTACTTCCGAACTTGGAGGAAGTCACCCAGAAGGCAGTTTTATAGGCCCGATCCGAAAATCAAATTTTTCCACTTCCGTGGGACAACCGCGTGACATTTATAAGCTGCCAGCAGATTGAGCCTCTTGCAGTTTGCTGTAAGGATCTTTTCCCTAGGGACAACAGTATGGTCCGTAAGCTGACCTTATATCGCCCCAGCTTAAAGCTAACTTGTTCTGCGATAGATTTCTACGTTTACGGCTGTACTTTTGCCAAAAGCTTGGCTGGCTTTGAAGGTCAAAGTTTCAACCTCCCCATGGATTAGAAAGTTTTCGTAGATGGTGCTCCCCCCTGTAAAAGCAATTCTGTTTGATTGCTGACGATGCCCGCCTGTTTAGTGTATTCTCGAGTTGACCCGGGTTAACGCGTGATGCTTTGTGCGTTCTGGTAGATTTTAGATGTGCGCATCCGGGGGCGAAAATGCGCAGTTTCTCTCCCCAGCCTCTGCGTAGTATAATGGGCACTCAGCCACTGAACACCACTGTAGGCACGCATTAGTCAGAGCTTAAACAATTCTTCTACTGTAGGACATTTGCTGCGAGGATCTAGACACCAACCCCCCGTGTTCTTATAAGAATTTCATACTGGGACCGCAAGCAAAAACGTAGTTTATCGGGACAGAAACATTTTACACACCGTGAAAGCAGCTGTTACGCGTACAATAATACCTATTCTCCGGTTATATAAGGGCGATTACCGAAAGCGGCATCTTTACCAAACCACATTTGCTGAAAACTCATATAAGCCTAAAAACACGATAAATAAAATGCTGGGTGAGGTCTAGG